GAAAGTAATCAACGCATGGCGTTGATATCGATACCTAATCGACGACTTTAAGATGACCAAATTCAACTGCACGGTTCAATGCGGAGTCACCTTCGACACGGTGATCGAGGTTGGCTCCTTGCTGAGCTCGAAAAACTACATGCACATCCTCTACGTGACTCATACTTTTAAGTAAGCCATTGAACGTCGCTCCATCGGTGTCGACTACTTCTATTAATCACAAGAAGAGCTGGTTGGGAAAGTCTTACCAATACGAATCAGAATGACTGGTTTTGGATAGACATTGCGGGCTCAATATTTTACAGTAATGTAGTCGATTAAAATATCAATTTTTCTCAATTTCACATACATACATACATACATAGTCAATCTGCCTTCAGAATTACAAAATTCGACCGGGAAAAAAATTTAAAATCACAGAAAGCTAGAAACTTGTACATAACTTTTAGCATTTTATTGTTGGATAATTGATAGATCTGAACCATGTGCCATTTTGTTTATGGAATTGTTCACAGCTTTCATTCCCCCCATTGATTTCAGTTTTGATTCGTCTCATTGTTTACAGTTTTCATTCGCCACGTTGTTTTCAGTTTTGATTCGTCGCATTGCTTACGGTTAACAAAAGGATACATGTAGTCCCGTCTTAAACAATTAGTAACAGAGAGCAAGCATCTTTCACTAGTCGTACCTTTGTTTAACCCCTTGGTTCCCGGCGAAATGTATCGACAACGAGATAATTAATGTCGTAACTTACGACATGTCCATGTCACTACTTGTTTGTATGTGGCATATGTTCGACGTGCGTATAGGTGTATAAGTTTTTGACAGGTTGCTCTCTCAGGAGTCGTAAGTTATACTACTTAGTAGCTAGCAGAAAACACCGTATGTCGTAAGTTGCCCCACATTAGAAAGTACAGCGGGAAGATCTGCTGCACATCGGGGAAAAAGTGGTGCACAGAGCTGTTTTATGAATCCAGATCAGTAGAATAGACAGAACAAAAAGTACAGATGCTCAAGGAAATGTGTATTACGACATGACAAGCGCCCACACTCTTTTGATGTCACGCTGGCAAGCCTACTCTTGTTCACTCTCATGTTCATCACCGCCGTCTTCCTCATCTTCACGAAGTCGCAACTCTCGACGGGTCTTCTTGTGCACACCTGCCTTCTTCCCCGGGCGTCGCAAGACAACTCTCTTTCCCAGTGTTGCAGGAATGTTTTGGCCGCAGTCGAAGTCGTCGTGCCAGATCTCAAAGCACGTTTTAGCTACACCCTTGTACTGACGTCGTATCTTGCTGCACAGCCAGCACTTTGCATCGTCAATAGAACAGCGTTCGCAAAAGTAAGTTGTAGCAAACGACTTCTTCTTTCGATCCGTGCGCAACAGGGCACACACCTTGCAAGATCGCTGGCGACGCTTCTGAATTCCCGTAACGGTCACCCAATCGTCGGCCTGCTCGACAGCATGTGTCAGACGTAGTTGAAGGCGCTTCAGCTTCTGGCTGCTAGGTGTCGGTGCTGCAACAATACCAGCGAAGTCCTCCACTTTCAGCTGCAGTAATTGGTTTTGCAGGACTCCGAACCATTCTCCTCGCTTCATCACCGGCGTTCCAGCGATACGTGCAGCCTCTTTGCGCGAAATAAACGCATTTACAAGTGCCAAATCCACGAAGCCTAAAAAAAGGCTTTTGTAGTATTTCTTGAACTTCGTAGACTTCTGCAAAGAGTACTTTTGTAGGCGGAGTTGATCATGCACATCAACTCCGCCCATCCAACGTTGATAGTCAGTTACAGCCGCCGGACAGGGTACGGTAATTGTACCAACGCGCTTGACGTTTCGTGTAATAGTCGTCTCTGTCATTGCCGAGCCTGTGCACAGGTAATGCACAGGTTTCCGGTCCCACCAGTGAAATGCAACCATATTTGGAATGGCGACAGAACGAGAAAACGTGAACATGCCTCGGGGAACGCTTGCTGGACGTGACTTGCGTTTCTCTTTGACATTTGCATCATATCCAAGCCGGTTGGTCATTATCGTGCCTATCACGTACACTTGCATGCCCAGTAGCTCGATAGCAAGTAGAATTGACGAATAGAAGCGGTCGATAACTACTGCGTGCCATGGAAGCCGGGTGTTGGGACCAAGCACTGTCTTCAAATTTCTAACGACTGCAGCCGCACCGGTCTTATGGTCAAATGTTGAATGCTCTCCATCTCTTCTTTTGCCCGCATACAGCTCAAATCTAGTAACATACGACATAATTGGTGAGAAACCAATCTAATGTCATAACTTACGACGTAAGTAAAAAAAACCAAACCTGTGACAGTACGCGGTCCTTGAATCACACACCATAAACATTTTTGAGCCATACCGATGAGGCTTATCAAGCATGGACATTCTAGTCGTGTTTCTTTTAGAAGTAGAAGGCAGAACACCCTCGTCAAAAGCGAACACTGCCGGGAGGGTCCACGCAATCAAGAAACGATTCTGCATTGTTTCGACTACCATTCGCAACTTCCAGAGCCTGTCTCGCGTACGCTCCGCCTCGTTGTCCACAAAGTGCAAGTCGCGCAACATGTCTTGACATCGATTCCGGCCCATGAACCTTCCAAAATTACCTGCAGGAACGGCCCCATCCTCCACCATCGACCAGTGAGCGGCAAAACGTCGCTTTTGCGGGCAGAGCATGCGCGCAATCAGGAGACCTATCATGTGTAAGATCTCGTGCGTCTCGAATCCCGGCTTTGCCTTCAAACGCCGACTAATCTGCTTAACCGTCTCCTTTCTCCGATCGTGTTGCTTTGCATGAATTCTTTCTGCACGTCTGGTGACTTGCTGAAGACCATACCGATTCGTCTCTGCAGCTATCTTGACCCATAGCGACTTGGGCATAAAGTAAAAGAATGTAAGTAGTGGAGAGTGGCAAACGTTTAGTAGCTCAGGAATTGGTCGTGCCTCTTCCATATTCAGACCAGAGTACGCTTCGACACCCTCCTCAAACTCGTGAGTGACTGAAGACCACTCCATTGAACGTAACGCGTCCTCACGTTGCTGCTTGGCTTGACTGTTGAGGGCATCACTGCCTACTTGAAGTGAGTCAATGAACGCTGCGTCCATTGGCACAGCGTCATCTTCTGACAGCTCATCCAATTCTTCAGGTACTTCACAATCATTGCCGTCATCGTCATCATTGTCTTCTTCAATGTCGTCATCACTGTCTCCAGAGCTAAAGCGCTCGTAGTCACTCAGGTCTTCGTCGTCAGTCACAAAATTTACATCCTTCTTGACAGGATGACGGGGGCGTAGGACAGGACAGGTCGGCGTAGCTGGCACACGAACAGGTTGGGAAGCGTGCTTGCGTACGGGTTGGGCGTCAGGCTCACGTGTGGGTTGGGCGACGGGCACAGTGACAGGTAGGGCGGTCGGCACAGTTATAGGCTGTGCGGGCACTGGACTGCCAGGCGGGGAAGCAGCGCCAACATCCGACTGAGCGTCACTCTCGGGTCCAGATGACAGAAACTGCAGGTTTGTCGCTGCGTCTCGAAGCTCTCCGGGCGACAAATTAAAAGCCCGAGTAACTGCTGCCTGTGAAAGCTCGACTTCAGAGCTATTGCAGCTGCTTGGGGTGCCAAACAGATCATTCATGGTCTGCTGTGACAGCTCAGCACTTGTGTCGATCTGCGACGCACGTACGTCCTCTAAACAATTATCGGCGGCGTCTTTACTGGAAGTGACGGCGTCTTCAGTAGCAGAAGCAGCGGCGCTCTCGTCATCGTCGGCTACTACGTCAACAGTGACCTCATCGTCTGCAGCGTTGGCTTCCTCTGCGCTCTCCGGTTCAGCCAATATTCCTGTCTCTAATGCATACGCCACCACAGCCTCCTCTCCAACTAACACCTTTGAACCATCTGCACTTACGTACTTCCCTTTAGTTTGTATCCCGGTTGGTCGCTTGTACTTCCATCCCACAGCTCGAAGTTGTCGCCAAAAGTGGCCAAAGTCAATGTTGGGCGCCACCGCAGCAACGGCGGCTGTTTTGGTTCGTTTTCCAGGCCGGATGCGAGCCATCGAGCAAATTCTGTAATGAGCTGTGGGCCACCGAGTGGCAACTGGATACTTTCCCGCGTATCCCATCTTTTCCGCGCGTCCCTGATCCCTGGCTCGTTTTTGGATTTTTCTCATTTACCGGTTGAACTTTATCGATTTCAAATGACTTGATTAAAGTGAAGGATTTCCATTTTTGAGCCATCTTCTAATGTTATTCCAATTATGTCGTAAGTTACGACATAAACAAAGAGTCATGTCGTAAGTTACGACGTCGGGAACCAAGGGGTTAATATTATATTTTGTAAGGATCCTTCTGTATTCGGGCATGTCCACTGCGCTCAGAAAAAATACAAAACACCATTTCGAAGTTTTCACAAGTACGAGTACCTCGAAGTACCCCTTGAAAAATGAAGGAAATTCTACCAATCAAAGCGGATGCAGGTTGATTACCTTGGGATGTGAAAAAGTGTGCTAAATCTTGATGCACTTACAAAAAGTCAGTATAATGCCGCTCCCCTTTTCTTTTCGGTCAAAGGGGCACAATTTTGAAAATACTCCCTGCGGACATGCCTGAGAATAGTAATCTTTGAGTGCCCTACAAACACCCTACACTCCCCAGACCGACACCTGTGAATACTTTAGGGAAGACCAGGATTGTACACAGCAGAATTCAATTAGCTCTTCCTCCTTCTCAAAAACAATGTCCCATTACGATGATTCAACGCGTATCGGAACCTGATGGTAGCTGTCTAGGAGATGATTTATAATTTCCCGCCTTGTGATCGACGATTACGATACAACTAAAAGAGCGGGAGTATTTTTAACCGTTATTCTCTTCAAAGCTGGGATACTGGTACATCCGGGATGGGCCGGTGGAATCTTTCCGACAGAACCCGTTCAGTCATCATTTCTCAATATTCTTTTGGCCAAGAACTGACCTACGAGCCTCATTATGAAGTATCCCTACGCTGTCTGTTTGGTCTTTCTCCTACTGTTTGCATATTTTGCTCCGGTCCCAGCTACAAGGGAATTGAATCTGAGTGCCCACACGCGCAGTTCAACTCGCGTTGTCGACAGCGTCACTACCAAGAGGCTTCTAAGGGCCCACATTAGTGGCAAGGAAGAAGGCACAGAACAAGAAGAACAAAGGGGTATTTCGATAAATGTTCCAAGCTTGGAGAAAATCTCAAAAATATTTACGTCATCCAAAACTACGGAGCTGAAAGGAAAGCTTATGGCCGACGAGGCACTTGATAGTGCTTTCGAAACGCTAAAACTCAGTAATATGCGGATTAGTAGTCATGACTTTGTCGAGACCAAGATGGTGGCCAAGTTGTTGTCAAGCCGAAACTTCAAGGTTTGGTCCCAGCACGCCGTCAAGATCAACAAGGAGGACCCCTATGGCGCGATGCTAACAACACTCACAAATGTCTTTGGTGAGAAAAATGTGGCAATAATGATCCTAGTCGGGAAACTGTCCAGAAATTCGCGCGACGTCGCAAAGAAGTTGGAAAAGGCGCAGTTCTACAAGTGGTATGTCGTCGATAAGTACAAGACAGCAGATGAGGTTTTCACGAACGTGCTCAACGCTGATCGTAACACAATTCATGGGTATGCTCGGGAGAAAGCAATTTGGGGAGATTATTTCAAATACATCATGGATACAGTGATGAAGTATTGATAAAAACAAGTTTCCTGCACTTGTTTGGGTACCTGTCTGTATAGAAAGAGCCTTACGTATGAATTGATGTATGGAACTTAAATGCGTCTGAAGTCAACATTCTAGCAAATAGCCTGCGTCATTATATTAAACTTTCTATATAGGATGGTCGCTTAATCAAAAAATCAGGATCACCATTGTTTGCTCAGTATTAAGGCCGCTGCGTGCTCTCAAACCTTCCGGTCGCTATCAAAAGCGTCCAGATTGCATCAATGCACTATGTGAACACATGAAGACTAGTTTTGGGAGGTAGTGACTGAGTGCTGTTCACTACTAAAACGGTCCTGCACAGTACGTTTTAGTATGGCCTATCGGATCGTACATTGTGCTCTGGCGACACCGATTGACTTAATAAGTGAGTGGCGTTGTGGGGTGTCAAAGCTGGTTTAAACTTATCATCATGAGCGGAATCCGGTTCAAGCAGAAATTGTGGACTTTCTTACTGAAAATCAGCGAGGATTTCTCTCATGTCCTACTTAATAGCTACGACGTCACACCTATTCCTCCGGGTATACGCAATTTGATCTGCGCCCACGCCTTTATAAGACTTAAAAGCTAAAACATCGAGGTGAAAAGGATTAAAATGTCTATTCCGTGGCCGATACTAAAGCTATTTTGGTTTGAGACTACGTTTGAAGTACAATATATCGGATATGGTAGTGGCGTTCGTATCCATTGCTGTATCATTTCCTATTGAATCCATCGTGAAGCGGTACAACGCTCCTAAGGTCTCCATGTCGTAGTCTAGATAAGGGTCGAAACGTGGTCAATGGGGAGGGAGTACATGGTTACGGAGTTCGAGGAGGGTGAAAGAAAGCGATTTTATAAATAAGTTGAGAAAATATCATTAGTAAATCTCCTTTTATCAAAAAGAAGCATAGCTTGGGGAAGGGCATAAGAAAGCTTTTAGAAGCTTCCACAGCCGCCCTACATATGTTGTATCCTATTTAATTGAGACTTACCATGTAATACTATATCGTATTCAATTATCGACTTCTTCCTAGTGATTATAGTATTAACCACTCACTCCCCCCCAAGAGTCGCGCTCCAGCTAGCCCACCTGTCACTTTGGAACTTTCTCGGCTGAACCACAAGTGGCTTTCCAGTTCGGTTGCCAGTGACTAGCGCCAAACAGCTAGGGTTTGGACAGAAGCTTCGGCTGAAGCAACACCTTGTATGGGAGGCGCAGGCGTATAGACTTCCGCCGGTTATAGCTCACCATGCAGCTCGAAACCTGACGAATCGACGCGCTTGTTCCGACTACCGCAATCTTAACCAACATTTGGTTCGACCGCCCTCTCGCCCTCAATTTCGTGGGGAGGATGTTGCTGCTGGTTACTACACGCGCCCTATTCCGACCTCAACTCAAGCTTACCGACATGTACCAGTGGAAACGCCGTGTACCGTCGCTGCAGCTGAGAATATTATTGTGGCTACCTATGTAACCCAACAAGCTCAAAATTGGAGCTCGCTAGGTTGGTCTGATTCGATTAGCAGAGAATTCGCTGCTGGATATCGCAATTGCCCAGATTACGGAGATCGATTTAAGCATCCGTAACAACCATTTGCCAAACAAAATGGTTTACCTTTCCAAAGGTATCAAACGACGATGCGTTTTATGCTCCGTTTACTCGGGACAATCATCTTCGTACTTCCATCATCTCTTACTTCCATGACTCCAATATCCCAATATCGCTGCTGAACCTGGAGCTCATCGAGCGTACCTTCGCATTTCGCAATGGTATCATTGGCCCACCTTGGACCAAGACGTTCGCGATTATGTGCAAAGTTGTGAAACTTGGACTCGCTGGAAGCACAGCAATGCTCGCTAGAATTATCGCATACGTGGTAAAGCACGAATGATCTGTGAGCCAGCGGCCAATGGCGAGATGATTCCCATTCCGTTTCTGAGGAATGCAGGTCTGTCGTCTCTATGGACTTTATCACTGGATTACCTGATTCCAATGGTTTTGATGCAATCTTGACTGTTGTCGCGGCTGTCCAAGCACCCGAAGTATCGGACGTGCAGCCGGACTGATGATGCACAGAAAACTGCGTATCACTTCTCTGATTGCGCTGTTCGCCATCGCAGCTTACCACTGATCGTCATCAGCGATCGAGATTCCAAGTTCGTCTCCAAGTTCTGGTCATCCTTGGCTAAGCTAATGGGAATTTGTCTGCACATGACAACTTCCTATCGTGCCCATGTCGATAGACAAACCGAACGTTTGAATCTGACTTTGGAAGAAGCTGCACGCCTTCTGATATTGTACCTCGGACGTGATTGGTCGGGTAATCTCGGACGATTGAGTATGCTCATGCTACTCTCGTCAGCGCATAAACCGGTATGTTGACCTTTGAAGTTGATACTGGACGCAAAGAACGGAATCCGTTGAATCATTTGAGCAATCCAAGTACCGTGACTCAAATTTAGCGTGGAGTTGTGGAATATGCGAAACAGTTCCAAGACAAACGTCACGAGATCATTGATTTGACAAAATGCATCTTCGTCCAGCCCAAGAGCGTCAAAAGCAGTACTTTGACAAGAAGCAATCTTCGACTATGCTCAAGGAAGGAGACTTAGACATGCTAGATACTCGTCAGATTGCGTCCACCCATGTGACTCAAGACATTGATGAGAATCGAGCTAAGCTCGCTGCTCGCAAGATTGGACCATTCGAGATTGAGTAATTGATCCACCCAAATGTGACCAAGTTAGATCTTCCGCGAAGCACGAGTCGTCTGATCTCCACGTTCAACGTGGGCGTATTGAGTCATTACGCTGAAAAAAACCCTTCTCGTTTTAAGACTTGTCCTATCTCAACGTGCAACGATGCACATTATGGAGTTGCTTCTTCGCAAGCGTCAAATGAAATCGCAACCCTGAATGGCTTGTGAAATACCACGGATTGCCGGATCACGAAGCAACCTGGGAGCGCGAGAAAGGCAACCGCCATGTGTCGCATTGGAAGGTCCTCATTTCCGGCTTCAACAAGCGTCAACGAGACGTCAAGTCAAGGAGGATGTAACGACACACCAACGTGACAGCCAGCGTTGGCCATGACGCTGGTATAAATGCGTCCTAATTTCTTCAATTGGCTTCCTACTTGTCTTTGCTGACTACCAACTGTCTTCTTTATTTGACAATGAGCGGCCATGTAGACACACGCCTGACTGGAAGGCAATCATCTTGTTTGGACGAGTATTGTCAAACATGAATCTTTAATGACATTCATTCTTTTCCATTTGAATTCACTATGGAGATTCGGACCCGGCACTAATAAGCCTCGGTTTAATACTACGCTATGTTACTTCAAAATTCGACTCAAGGACTACCAATTTACCTTCTTCGAGGCACATCAGAAGCCCCTCGCGCCTTACCTTCGAGTCCCTGTCATTGACTCTTGCCGCCCTCCTCCACTTCGTTCCTCGACACGTGACCTTTCCTTCGTCGCTGCTCTACGGCACCGTGCTCTCAACAGTCGTCTCACTATAGATCACCAGAAAGATTGCTCTTCCTCTTCCACGTAAAACAGCCAAACTTCACCTTCATTTCCAGCTGAGGTTTGACGGTGGAGATGGTGGAATTACGGTGGTTGTGGCGGTGTAGTTGCCGAAAAAAGCTTAATTCTGAATCAATTTGGCGAGATCCTAAGTGGCTACATTGAAAAAAGCGGAATTCTGAGCAGGGAGTTAGTCTCATGTTTAGGCAGCAATATCAATAAACACGGCTATACTACTGCAGTCCAAGCCACTTGTCGCCATGACTACCGAACGTTCGTCACCGTCAATCAGCGACACAGCACGACGTTCAACACGCAGCCGTTTACTTGACACCTTGGCGGACGCTTGTCACCTTGCCCGCCGCTTGTCATCTTGGCCGTCGGACGTCTGTCATCAGTCACCAGCTGTATAGCACGACGCTTGAGACGCTGTAGGACACTTGTCACCTTCCCGGCCACTTGCCATCTTGGCAGCCGGACTCCGTTATGAGCCACGAGCCTGATACCACAACGCTTGTGATGTTGCTGGTACCTGGCACCCTGGAAAATAATGTGCGGGCCGGGCACTTTGAAGCTAAGTAGCCTTGTAAAATTTTAATGTATGACCTTACAAATTAAAAAATTGCCTTTCGGCGACTAGGCGAAAGACGAGTGGTTTTAGAGAATAGTCGCCGCATATGTTTTTCGAAAGGTGATTCGGTGCGCCTTTCCAATACTTCTCGATAACATAGTACTGTGTATCGTTTGGCAAATGTTTTTAATGCCATCGAAGTTAAAAAATTTCCCCATTTTATGTTGTGCGAAGGTCACCGGATGACATCCGCTTGAGAAGCACTGTCTATAGGATGCGCGTAGGTTGTTCGACGCCGTGCAAGATTTTTTCGCTAAACGACATTTCTTTGAGCTGATAACTACGCGATTTTACAGTAAACCAATCTGATATGTTGTCGACCATAAAATTACAATCCGAGCATGTCGTGACGCTGGTCAATGAGTGTTTTTGACCCGACAACCACGAAATACTTTTAATATATTACGTTGTCAGCAACATGTAACCGATACACTTTTGGAGCATTGTTCACTGTACTATATCCCAAGAGCAACTCACGTATTTTTCCTTACGTGGAGCACTAGCATAATGCACCTACAAGACTATAAACTGATTCGTCCCACATAATTTACTGGATTTAGACAACGCAGAAGATGTTTAGAATGATGGCTTAAACTTAAGAAAGGCATGTTTCCTTTGATTTGAATTCACAGTTTCAAACTTCGCCATTGGTAGAAGAGGAGGAAACGGAAAAGGTGTTTGGGCTTGAGAGGAGAAAGCAAAGTACTATTCTCCCCGGCAATCAATCCGCAGCGAAACATGTGCTTGTCCTAGCCCCTTACTTAATCATATCTTCTTAACCCAATGTGATAGCTCAGGCAAATCTGGTACACCAACCCCTTTCTAAC